GGGGGGGGGGGTCCCGTGCACTGTAGGATATTTAGTAACATCCCTAGCCTCTACCCACTAAATGCCAGTAGTTCCCAGGCCACCACTCCGACCTCAGTTATGACAACCAAGACTGTCTACAGACATTACTAAATGTCCCCTGGGGCAAAATTCACCCCAGCTGAGAACCTCTGAAGTTGGGTGACATATATGAAAACATTTAAAAAAGCACAAAGCTCCAAGTCAGTATTAATGTAAATCCATTTATAAGATTACTTCTAAAAAAAACCCTTTAGAAATTTACGTTTCCCTAGGAATGTTTTCTTTTCTATTTTCATATATTTTGCCTACCATAAAAAACCCTTCAGGACTTTTAGGTTAATTTTCTTTACCCAAACAAAGTATCTTCATTGGAATGCATTTTTTAAATGTATCACTTTGCTAACATGACAGTCAGAGTCAAACATAATTGTCATTTCTACAAAGCAGACATTTTATCCAAAATCAAAGTACTCTGTGCCTACCTTTTAAGGACAAGGGACTGGATCTTGTGAATTCTGAATTTGATGGCCTGTGCTGTTTACGAACTTCCAAGTACTCCTTAACTCTTGAATTAATGGTTTCTTTTAACAGTAAACAGACTTCCTATAGTAAATTAAAAAATTAGAGATAACATTCTAATTAATGCAATGCAAAAAAAGTCAACATCATGCACATTAAAAAGTCAACAGTGAACATTTCATTTTGTTTGCTTTTTTAATTACTTATGAATGCTGAAAGGAATGTCTTATGTGCTCAACAGATAACACTGCAGATGCAAATTTGCTACTGAGGTTTGTTGGCTCTGTGATCTGAGAAATTCATTAAATTTCCCTCTGCCTCAATTACACATTTCTAAAAAGAAGATAAAAACACCTCAGTGTAAAGATTAGAGAGCCAGCCCTGGCCAGTGTGGCATAGCTGGTTGGAGAGTTGTCCCATGCACCAAAAGGTTGAAGGTTTGATCCCTGGTCAGGGTGTGTAAGGGAGGCAACCTATTGATGTATCTCCCTCACATGGATGTTCCTCTCTCTCTCTTCCCCTCCCCCCTTCCTCTCTCTCTAAAATCAATAATAAATTTAAAAAATTAGAGTGCCAAGGTGATGAAATCAGTGAGGTAAAGATGGTTTCTGTATAAATATCAATCAGCTGTATTGTGACAGCAAGAGCCCCAGGGAAGTGCCCACTGTGGCCAGGCAGGAGACTGTGGACAAAGAAAGGAGCCAGGAGCCAGGGCATATTCAGAGGGAATCCTGACACCAACGCAGTCAAAGGGGGCAGCCCCCACGGCTTCCTATGGGGATAAATACAAGGCATAGTGTCACCAGATCCTCCAATTTGTTCAAGAGGAACCAGAAACTGATATTTTATACAAAAATTTCCCATTTTTCAAATGTGGTTCAAAAAACTTAACATCTAAACACCACCATTCATTAGTTTCTGGCCTCAGGTTACAAATCTACTAAAAAAGGGAACAGCATTGAGTGATGAGTTGAACAGAGAACTGGAAATCAGTAATCTGACTTTCTTCCATAGTCTTGTTGATGATACTGTATATACTCATTTGCTTTTGTGAAAACTGCACTATATTCACTACTAATGATGAAAATAATTTAACTTCTCATATTTCTCTAAAGTAGATGAATATTTATTAGGTAACAAAAACACATGGTTTTAATTCAGTATCATACCATACTACTAGCAAATTTCTGGAGCTATTGTTTTATGTATCAATGTTATTTATAAAAAGAAAAACAAAACTAAAAGTACAACCATGCACTGGGAAGATACTGTCCACGTTAGCTACACTAGCAGAAAAGTGTAACTTAATGTAGGAAAAGGAAAAAAACGCACACCAATCTACATTTCCTAGATTAAGAAGTGATGCATAGGACTGATAATTCTGGTTTAATTCCCAAAGACTCTGAAGGCGGCTGAGAGTTGCCAAGGTCATCTCAAACCTGTTTCACTGGTTTCTTGAAATGCCATCTCAGGCCCATCTCTTAGAATCCTTATAAATTAAAACAAGAACAAAGTCTTAAGCTGCTTCAAAGGGCAATGAGAGCCAAATTTTACTTTTATTGTAAACACATGTACTCCTCAAACAGTATAGAAAACACTAGATTTAACTCAAAATGTGAGTTTCTAGATAAAATGCAAAACTGGTCACCTCTCCTGCTTTCATTTTGCAGCCCAAAGATGCAGTGACCTATGGAATACAGAGACACCAGTTTCCAGCTGAGTGCTTTGGCACTGTTCACACAACAGAAAGGCAGCCTGGCCTCCTACTGTTGTTTTAACAATTAAAGAATTTTGCTTCACATGCAGGGTTCAACTATGACTGAGCCTGAAAATATGTGAAAGACATACATGGAAATAGGATTGCTAAAATTTGGCCATAAATGCCCTATAAGGCTAGAACTAAAAATAGCACAACAAAAATACAGCGAAGGCCATACACATAAACTTTCTCCCTATAGTTACGGGGCTTTCCTTAGATGAGTCAGGTTTGACAAACAGAAGGTAGACCACATGCAATGTAGTCAAGATACCCTAGTAACTGACCACACCACACTCAGCAAAGCATTCTCTTCAGAACCAGAGCAATGCAAGAAAAGACAAAGTCCCAGCTAAAGTGGAGGGGCAGATGAGAAGACTAAGTTAAAATCAACGAGAAAAGAGAGAGACATACAGACTCTCTAGGCTAACAGGGCTCATGTTTGTTTTTTCAAGTTTACAAATGGAACAGTTTGGGTACACAGACTACTTGTGCTGGACTCAAAATAAACATATGTTTAATACATGTAATTAGTTTCTTTTTCTGAAAAGGAACTGTATATGCTTAAGACTTTTACTATATAAAGTGACTGTTAAAATGCAATCAAACTGATTGCTCGTGAAATCTCAATCATGAGATGATCTAATAGTAAAAAAATGAAAGCACTGAGACACTGAACATAGGCTGAAGTCATATACTTTTCTTGACTAGCTTTTCTCTCTCCCATCCTCCTCCCTCCATGTCTGTCTGTCTGTCTCTCTCTCTCTACACACACACATAATTACCCCAGAGCAATTTTTAATGAAAGTGAACATATTTTAAAGAAATTTCAGGGAACTTCGCTTTGGGAGCAAAGCTCAGCTTGTTGGCATGACCTGCCGTCTTGCAGCTGCCACTGCAGCGAGCTCTGCAGGTCCAAGAGTACACTGAGCGTCTTTGCTAAGTCATGCTCTGCTGCCTGGATGTAGGACTAGGTGGAGCGGCACAGCTGCGTGTGGCACCCTGGAAAAATCTAGCCCCAAGATTTGGGTTGGAGGTGATTTGCATACTCATAGCTTTATTTCAAAGCCTTCCAAATAAACTGACTCTTGGCAAAACTGACTGAACAGCAACAGAAAGGTCTAAGGCCAAGGTGGTAAAGTCGGGAAAGAATGGAGGAAAATCTGGATTCTAGAATGCTGTTAATGTAAGTCAAGTCATATGCCTTTTGGGTGAGGTCACCTCAGGTGAGTACCAGTCACTCTGAGGGAATCGGACTGTTTGAATTGAATCATGGGACATGTGTTAGTAAGCCAAAGTTTGGAACTGTATGAAGGTGAGTTGCAGTAGGAGGTGCTGGCCTACTGTCTTGATGATAACAGTGCAAAGTTATTTACCTGAAGGATCAGTCCCATCATACAGAATCTTGTGCCTTCCCTTTGCCAGTTTTGGGCCACCAAGTGTCTTTTGTGAAATTATAAGCAAAGTCCTGATAATTTTATTACCTTTTGATTGAAAATGTTCTTTTAGGAAGACTTTTTTCTAGTAATTTCCAAAAGCTGATTGAAAAGTTATCACAGTAAAGGGGTGTGTGTGTGTGTGATTAGCACTAGTGTCTTCTCCATGCACAATCTTTTAATAAAATTTACTTTTATTTCTAGCTCTAAGAAGCTATTGCGACAAATGAATACCATAGACACACAAAGTGTATAATATTTTGAAAGTTACGTAAAAGTCATTGATTGCCTCTCTATCTCTGCACTCTACTAAGCAGGAATCTGAAGGAAGCAAAGCACATGATGAGACGTGATGCACCTTCTAACCCTCTACCAAGGCAGCACTTGGGTGGGAGAGTAGACATAGAGCCAAGAATGACACAGACAGCCTCTGGTGGAACCATTTCATTACAGATGAGGAGGCTGAGGCCCAGGAGGGATCAAACATCATGCTCCCAGTCAAACAGCTATTCACTTTACTGACTGACCACCCACTGGTGACTGAATGTGGTGAAAGAAGGAACGCTGTCAAACGTCTCTGCACTTGTCACAAGCTCGTGCTAATAAAAGGACAGTGGAAGATAAAAGTGCACCAGACTGGGATTTCACACAGGTAGGAAAGAGCAGCCTGTGTGAGCCCCCACACCTGCTCCAGGTGCTGGTCTGTCCTTCACAACCAGTCAGATTAAAATCCCTGCTTACCTGGAATGGCACTTTAACTTCTTCTTGTAATTTAGAGTACACCTTCCCCCGAAACAAAGAGGTAGGAAATTTCTGGTTTACATAATAGAGGAACATATGAAATGTATGGATGTGTCAGTTTCTGAAGGAAAATAAAAAGTGGGTGTATGTCTGTTACTGGGAAGATAATGCCTATTTTTCCAAGGGTTAAAGATCACTCAGTATTTTTGCCCACTAATTAAAATGAAAGTTTGAAAGAGCTAATATTTCTCCTAGCAGTAGCTACTTGCATTTAGATAGTGAAAAGTTTTGTGGTACCTACCTCTTTGTTCTGTTCAGAAAACCAGCTGGTATCTTTGTTTGAACCTTGCGGTGATACGTGAAGATCCACCAGGACAGCAAAATCCCCGCACTGAAAAATAGTGATGGCAGAGTCAGCTCACGCCCAGCAAACAGTGAGAGAAAATCTCACAAATTCCTAAGTGGCTGCTCACGAAATGGCAACAAATTTTACTACTAGACACAAATGTTCATAGGGGACAGGGCTACAAGTCATATCAACTACTCTTTGCAAGTTTAATATTTATGGGTAGAAATGTTAAGGAGAAATACCATTTTAAATCAGGATAGAAAAGACAAAATATTTATCTCTGCGCCGCACCTTGAAGAGGGATGTCCAGGCATCCAGCGGCAGTTGGAAGACTATCAAACAGTGGAGAAGTAAAATAGGTCAGAACTAGGTAGGCTCCAGAAAAGAATGATTCTGTGGACAGTCAACAGAATTATTTCTCCTAGGTATAAAAGAACAAATTTATAAGCTACTGCATTTTTAGGTAGAAAAAAATATTGGCAAGGATTGGCTGGGACAACACATCTTAGAACAGAAACAGAAGCATGGACAAATGAAAAGAACCAAGGAGAGGAAGGCAGATGCTGAATGATAGTTATCAAAACCATATAAGTTTCATTCATTAGGATACACTATAAACTGTACAGGGCCTGCTTTATTTCTTATTCTATAGGCTAGTGCTGTATAGTACTCTTGAAAAAATGGAAATATTATATCTGCCCTGGTTTATAGGGTAGTCAATAGCCATACGTAGCTACTGAGAGCTTGAAATATGGCGACTGTGATCCAGAGGCCGAATTTTAAAATTTTATTTAGTTATAATGTAAACAGCACATGTGGCTAGCAGCTCTGTGGCATAGCTACAGACCCTATAAAAAGTTGTAGCCTTATAAATATTCAACCTTATGAGAAAAGAAATTTCTGAGACTCTCAGGATAACTGTAGAAGACCTAACTTAGAAAAGAATAGAAGACCAAGACTATAGGTTGAGGGTGGTCTAAGAGGCCCAGAGGATCTGTTTATGGCCCACATGAAAAAGTGACTTTTGCACCTATTTGGCTGAACAGTTTTTGTGTGTTTCATTTTATTTTCACTTTAAATTTTGTGCTATAATTCAATGGTGAAAAGAAAATATTTTCTTTTCTTGTTTTATTTCAGAGAAAGGAAGGGAGAGGGAGAGGGAGAGGGAGAGGGAGAGAGAGATAGAAACGTCAATGATGACAGAGTCATTGATCAGTTGCCTCCTGCACGCCCTTGACTGGGGATCAAGCCCGCAACCTGGGCATGTGCCCTGACCAGGATTCAAACCACGATCTCCTGGATCCTAGGTCAACTCTCAACTGCTGAGCCACGCCAGGCCGGGCTTCTTTTTCTTTTTAAAATATATCTTTATTGATTTCAGAAAGAGGAAGGGGGGGGAAGAGAAGCATCAATGATGAGAGAGTCGTCATTGATCGGCTGCTTCCTGCATGCCCCCGACTGGGGATCGAGCCCGCAACCCGGGCATGCGTCCTAACCGGGAATCGAACCACCATCTCCTGGATCCTAAGTCAATGCTGAACCACTGAGCCACACCTGGCTGCGCAAAGAAAGTATTTTCAACTAATGGTGTAAGAATACCAAATCTAAATATGAAAGAAAAAAAGAAACCTACCTCACGCCATACACAAAAATTAATTTGAGATGGATCACAGACCCAAACATAAGAACCAAACTTTCTTCCTGACTTTGGGATAGGAAAAGATTTCTTAGACAGGACCCCAAGAAATCACTAAAAATAGAAAACAAAATGGTTCAACTGGACTTTGTGAAATTTTAAAACTTCTGGCCATCAAAAGACACCACTAACAAAATGAATATGTATGTCATAGACTGTGAGAAAATACTCATAAATACATATTATCTGACTTAAAAGATGGGCATCCAAAATATGTGAAGAACTCCTACAAATCCAAAACAAACAAACAAACAAACAAAAAAATACAACCCAAACTTGAACAGACACTTCACAAATAAGATAAACAACTGGCTAATAAACACATGAAAAAAGTGTTCAACATCAGTCATCAGGCAAATGCAAATAAAAACCACCGAGAGATACCAAAATGACTACAATTAAAGACAAACCAAAAATTGGTGATGAGAAGCAACCCAAATCTCACACGTTGCTAACGGAAATGTAAAATGGCCAACAACTCTGGAAAACGGTTTGTCAGTTTTGTATAAACATACATTTATTTACTGACCAAGCCAGCAATTCCATCCCATGTATTCACCAAGAGAGATAAAACATATATGTACAAAAAAACTTGGAAGAAAATGCTCACAGAAGTTTTATTCATAATAGCCCACATGGAAGACAACCCAAGTCTACCTACAGGAGTATTCATTCAATGGATATATTCATTCATTCAACTAGACTATCGATACACTCAACATGGACTAATCTCTAAAATACTACACTAAGCAAAAGAGGCCAGGCTAAAACAATATATATTGTATGCTTCCATTTATATAAAGTTCTAGAACAGCAAAACTAAATCTATGGTCAAAACAATCAGAACAGTGATTGCCTTAAAATACATAAACACATAATAAAATACATTTTTTTTTAAAAAAACAGTGACTGCCTACGAAGAAACTGACTGAGAATGGGCACACGAGAACTTCAGGTGGTGATGGGAATGTTAAATACCTTGACAGGATATGTGCTTAAGAGATCAGTTCCTTTCCTTGTATAGAAATAACACATCAATTATAAACAATTTTTAAAATGCTGAGTAACAATATGTTCATATTTGCTAACAGTTATTTAAAATATAAGTATTAAGTCCCTGAAAATGTGTGGATATTTTGGGGGAGACCAAAGTGACGTTCACTAAGTAATAAATCATGAGGTATGATGACAGATGATCTCCCCTGATGTCAAACGGTGCCGTGTGACTTACTGAACTGCAGTTTAGTATGCTGCAACAGGCATTCTATTTTAGTGAAAGAGAATCTTGAAATGGGATTAAGAAATGTCAATGGGTCACACTGTAAAGCCGAGTATCGTTTTGTGAAATTTCTGTATGAGTGTACTGAGTTATGATATAAAGCCTATTTCTTACTGTGGGTTGTGGTCAAAACTGTTTGAAAACCATACTCAAATATGTTATTTAAAAAATATTTCTTTACAACTGTTGATTACAAATTTAACCTTTAAGGAGTATGCTGCCACCAGGTGGAGGTCTTTTGCCACAACTACATGATCTTACCCAGGGGTTATTAACCTTTCACGTGCCACGGACCACTTTAGCAAGCTGTGAGGCTGATGAAATTTGTTCTGAATAATGTTTGTAAATACATGAAATACAATGAAAAGGATTCAGAAGAAAACCAATCTTACTCAGGTATGGTTATCCGAATTAAAAAAACAAAACAAATTTGTGGTATAGTAATGTATGTACTTGTTTAAGGCATTGATTCTTGTCACCTAGTGGTGGTTCTAGAAACTACTATAAACCCAAAGTAGTGATAAGCATAAATGATATATTCAAATATGTGCCACAACTATAATATGAAGAGAGAGATGATTTCTAATGGTGACAAATATTGCTAATACTACTGTGCTCTGAATACTTGATTCATAATAAAAAATACATTTATTAGAACTTGGTCAAAATAAAGATGTTAACTTTTTCCCCATCCAAGTTTACTGACCCTGTGAATTCTACCACAGGCATATTCAAGCTCCAGGGTCTGCAGAACGAGAGCCCCTCCAAAGCAGTGAGGTGTGCCTCATACATTGCTAGTGGGTGTAAAATGTAATATAACACATTGTTCTGGGTTTTCTGTAGGTGTTCTTCTACCCTGACTCCTCAGTCAAACCAAGTTCTTTGCTACCCCTTCATTAGAAAAAATAATTTTTAAAATAGTAAAAAATAAAAATTGTGTTGCTTCAACAATCTGAACTATTACTATGTAAAAGTAACTTTCTAAAGAATTAAATAGCAAGGTCCAATTTGGCATTTTCTCATCATTTTGTTACTTTGATCACAAATAACCTAGTGTAAGTTTGGTCAGAAACAGACTGATTAGAATGTCTTTTTAATTTTGTAAAATAAATCATCAAGTCTTACTCTGGTGCTCAAACTTTCCCAGGATTTCTGCTAGACTCCACTGCTGGGCATGCATGCATTCCCCTCCCCCACAGCAGGGTTCTTTCTCCCTCTGCAGCCAGCAGCTCTGAGCGCTCCAGCAAGCGCTCTCCAACTCCCACACTAATCAGAGCTATTTTGCCTTTCTAAAGTTCCTGCTCTCAGAGCTTTGCTGCTTCTTTTCTCCCAGGAGTAAACAGAAGTTAAAAAAAAAAAAAAGGCTCTTACTGCTTCCAGCAGCACAGCCTCTCCTTTCCTCCTTAATTAGGAGGTTATTTCTACTCTCAGCAGATGAACTCTCCAGCTCTCTTCTGAGAGGAGCAACACACTAGGTATCACTTTTTTCTCTGGCCAGAGCTGCTCATTTCACACAGGCCCAGTTACCTCTTTAACAGGCCAAAGGCTACTCGTAAGAGCTGCACATCCCATGCCCTGGGTTCTGAGGAAGCAGACCAGAGTCTGTCCAGCTTCTAGGCCCCTCCACCCAGAGATTTCAGCCAAAAGCCTGGGATTCAACCCTAACTCCTCCCTTTCCCTAGCCCTCAACAATGTTACCAAGTCTCCTAGATTCAACTTCTTAACGAGCTGAACAGCCCTCTCCTCTTGTTCTGCATCATCTCCCACTTGATACTAGGGCTACCTCTCCTGGTGTCCCGGATGAACTCTCGATGCCCCCACCAGAGCAACCTCAAACATAACATGGGAGCAGTGTGCTCCTTCTAGGCTGTGACCATAACGCCCAAGCCAATGAGGCCCAGCTCTCCCACAGTCTTCCACTCTCTCTCAATGCTCTTGGGCACCTGCTGTGTTTGCCCTTGGCTTCCAAAGCACCTCAATGCTCCTGTGCTTAGTGAATTCTTATGCAGCCTTGTACCCTAGCAGGAGCATGGACACCTCTTGGGAGCTTTTCTGAACAGCCTGCCT